TACACATACTACAATTAAAATCATGCGTATGAATTATTGTTTACAAAATTTATATAATATGGAAGTGGTTTGACCTCGTTTTCGCACCTTGGTCGTATCGTGAGGGAGATCTAGATAAACACATTTGTCCCAAGTTCTCTGCCATAATATTCATAATGATTTCCACCGTCGGACCGTGGACTTAGTACAGTCCCAGACATTTAGCCAGCATCGATGAGCCTTGTCAGCACAACACGACGACTTGTCAGAAACAAGTGAAGTGCTTCCCTCGACCAATTGCCGGCTGAAGAGTTGTGGCATCTGTTTTGGATTGGCTTCACTTGTCTCTGACGCATGATGTGGTGATAAGAATGACAAGGCTTTGTGGCGATGCTGGCGAAACAGCTGGGAGTGTACCAAGCCCATGGTTCAGTTCTGGAAATTATCATGGGTACTGTTGCAGAGGACTCAGGACAAAGTTCATTCACCTAGATCTTCCTGACAATACGACTAAGTTGCGAAGACGAGGTCACACCACTTTTATACAACTAAAGGAGATCTCGACCATACCTTCGTTTAAATAATATGCATAAAGTACGAAATGGTTTTTTGTACCGCTCTTAGATTAGGAAATATATTAACGGTTATTTAATGGTGCATTTAGTTAGTCTGGTTTTTCATGGTTATTACTAAGTTTATCCTACTTGAAGATAGTTTTGTTGTTATCAACCTCTTATCCAACTTTTATTCCTAATCAGTTCATCTTATCCTTGCGTATTGGTTTTATTTCGCATCTAGCTTATAAGGCCGGATCGTTCTTCCTGGGAGCCAATTACTCATGAGAACTCTTGGAAGGGTACCAACAAGCTGAGAGAGTATCAGATAGAAGGTGTCAACTGGTTAGCCTTCTGCTGGTTCAATCATCGCAACTGCATTTTAGCAGACGAAATGGGTCTGGGCAAGACTGTGCAAAGCATCGCTTTCCTTCTTGAGGTTTTCAATGCAGGTGTTCGAGGCCCATTTCTGATCATTGTGCCTCTCTCCACCGTCGGCAACTGGCAGCGCGAATTCGAGAATTGGTCGGACATGAATGCAATCGTTTACCATGGTAGCAGCGTTAGTCGCCATATGCTTCAAGATTACGAGATGTTTTATCGGGGCCGTTGTGATGTCTTCAAATTTCACGCCGTGATCACAACTTTCGAGATTCTAATGACGGACATCGAATTCTTCGGGCGCCTCAACTGGGCTATTTCCATTATAGACGAGGCTCATCGTCTTAAAAATAAGAAGTGCAAACTCGGAGAGGGCCTTCGTTATCTTGAGTTGGTAAGATACAAATTATACACTTGCCTCTGAACAATATTCTACTTATCCGCTAATAGCGCTCGGAAAGTTAGCTTAATAATATTTTTATCTATGCTGCTTCATGAAACGTGTCTTGCTCAGAATGTTCCCTCATGCTAGTTTAGATGGAATCCCACTTCTTACTTTCGAAGTCGTATATATTTTTAAAGTGAGATTCACTGAGGGTCATGCATTTATCCACATCTTCAGGAGTAAATTTCTATGAACATAAATTAAAGAATGAATTTAAGGTTCTGCAAAATCACCTCAGCTTAGGAATATCTATGATGCCTTTGCATTATTACTCGCGGCCTAACCTTCCGATATCTGCTTAAATTATCTATCAATGTTTTTATAATAGCTTGCTTTGTTATGATAAGAAGAGGGTTATTTCACATCAACTATTCTGTACACGCCCCATATTCTGCTATAGGTGTCATTCCCTAAAAGTGAGTAACTTTTCTTATCCTTTATTTTAGCCTTTCCTACTTCCAAATAGCTTAAATTGTTTATTGTTCTTCTATCTTAATGTAGAAAAATTATCTTTCTTCTTTTCTAAGAGG